TATCCATCTTAGAGAGAGAGTGGAGGAGAGAGTCCTTAAGCAGACTCCATGCTGAGTGCGGAGCCCGACTCAGGGCTCAATCCCATGACCCTGACATCATGACCTGAACTGAAAGCAAGAGTCAGACATTCAGCCAGCTCTGCCAGCCAGGCACCCCCACATTAGCCAGCCCCTTTTACCTGTTCCAGGTAACCTCACCCTGGGGCCGGCCTTTCTCCTTTTGGACATTTTCCTGCCTGTCAGGAAGAGAGGACAAACTGCACATCAAATTATCCGGTTAATTATTCTTCTTAAAAAACCATCAGAGACAAGTGAGAAAAGTGGTGGGCGGCCAAGTGAGGAACTTCAACCTGGTGGCCGGGGCTGGCACTCTCTGCCCTTCTTGGGGTCTCCAGGCTGGAGTTTCTCCCCTTTCTTTGGGTGCCCCTTTCCAGACCACCTTAAAACACAGCCTTCACCCTGTTACCTGTGACCTAGAGCTTTGGTGGCTGTCTATCTTCTCATTTACAAACATCCTATTCCACGAACATTTGGGGACACAAGATGAGTAACTACCTTCAGTGGTCGCCGGTATGCCACGAGATTCCCCACCTCCCAACCCTTACACACCCCCTCCCATCACACCCACCCCCTGCCCGCATCATCACACCTCCCTGCCCTGCGTCAGCTCCGCACAGCCCAGCACCCAGCACCTGCTGTGGTCTGAGCAGGGAAGGGCACAGAACTGTAGGGGAAATGGCCCTTGGATGAGAGAAGCATTTGCTTCCTCTGTGGCCTCCCGTGACACTTCTAGACAATCGTACCCCAGTGGAATTTTGACTACCGTCACATGCTAGGTTTTCACATGCTGCCCTTGATATTTTACAAACTAATTCTAAAACTGCTGCCTTTATCCCTGTTAAATTCCCTCTTGGTGCCTCTATATATCATGCCCTGCTGCGATTTGGAGGGTTTGGCCTGCCCCCCTGGCACACAGCCCACCTGTGCCCACCTTGACAGCTGTGATCCGGGCTCAGCTCTGACAATACCATCCTCAACCAAGTCACAGATAAGAAAGGATAAAGGGAATTTAGTTGCTGCTAGATTCTAGGCACTGTGCTATGTGTGGGGCAAGTGGAACGTGGTCCTTTGACTTCTGTGAGCTCAAATGAACATATGAACAGCAAGGGCGCCCCACACAAGTATTTGGCCATGTGTCTAGTGCTCTGGGACGCCCCAAAGGAAGGCCCCTGACTGCGCTTAAGAAAAGAATGGACGAGCTAGAGAGGAAGGTGGTATTTAAAATTTGTGCAAAGTAGGGCACCTGGGTGGCTCAGTTGGTTAAGCGACTGCCTTCGGCTCTGGTCATGATCCTGGAGTCCTGGGATCAAGTCCCACATCGGGCTCCCAGCTCAGAGGGGAACCTGCTTCTCCCTCTGATCCTCTCCCCATTCATGCTGTTTCTGTCTCCCAAATAAATAAATAAATAAAATCTTTTTAAAAATAAAATAAAATTTGTGCAAAGTAATAATCCAAATTCTAAGAATATAAAAGCTGAACATGTTCTATGACCCAGCAAGTCTCCCCTGAGAGTGTTCATCCAACAGAACAGGGTTCACAATCCACTAAGAGGCACATGTCAGAATGTTCACGGCCGTCCAAACCAGACACCACCCAAATGCCCACCATGAGGGGAACAGAGAAGAAAATCGTGGAGCCGTCTCACGATGAAATGAACCATTGACAGCTACGCACAATGTGGGTGAATCTACACGACCCAGTTTGAGCAAGACAGACACAAAAGAGTATGGTCTACATAATTCTATTTCTATGAAGTACGAACAGGCAAAGCTAAGCGAGGGTGTCGGGAGTCAGGCGAGAGGGCAGTGACACAATAGGGAGACAAAGAGGCTTTGAGCATGCTGTCCTTGCTTGATTTCTTATTCTGGGTGCAGGTTACATGGGTGCGTTCAGTTTGTAACAATGCATAATTCTGTAACCTCAGGATATATTCAGCTTCCTGTGAATAGTAGACTTCACTAAAAAGAAAGAAATTGAGTACGGCTATTTAGACTGCTACCCAACTATCTTGTAAGCATTATTTTCCAAAACACAGTTCTATTATTTCTCTACCAGAAGGCCATGAGCAGCCTTAGCTGCCTTACCCATGTGTATGCTGTCCCTCCTTTGTTGCAGCATCGTCCAAACACATGACAGACACTCGATAAATCTTCGGGAAACCAAGATACAGTGGGTGATCTTCCTACACACTAACCCTTCTGGGAGCAGTTCGGCGTGGCATCTTGTCTCCTAATGACCACTGTATTTATAAATGCTCTCCAAAGGTCCCAGATCTAATCAAACTAGGAACTGAAATAATAATGACCCACTCAGGCATTCTAGACCTCAGCCTTTCCCTGCCAATTTTTTTTTTATTCACATAATTTTCTACTGCTCATCCATTCTAGAGAATCCCTCCAGAGTCCCTTCCCTTGCATCATGGAGCACCCAGCCCTGTGGGATCAGTCTCGTTCTCCCTGTTTAATCAATGATGACCCACACTCAGTGATATTCCTCCTGTAACTGTCAATGCCAGAACACACGATTCACTCAGCCCCGGCCTCTCAGCTCTCTCACTAATTCCTTGGCTGTTTGTTGGTTCATGTTTGTAGGCGGGGAGCAGATGCCAAGCAGGATGGGGGCAACTAGTTCTGCACTCTCTGCAGCTGGGTAACAGTTTTCTTGCCTTGTTTGCAGCTTCCAGAGCTCCTCCCATCTTCTTGAACATTTCCACAGGCTTCCATGCTCCTCTGTGCCTCTTTGTTCGCTGCCAAGAGGAATCTGCAGGCTCATCAGCTCTGCACCAACCTCCCACCACCTTCTGGGCCAAGTCCTCCTCAGCAAGAGAATAGAAAGAGGAAGGATGGAGGGGCCTGGAGGTGCTCACACCACATGTGGACGGGCAGGGCGGACAGTACACAGAGTTCAGAACAGGGCAATGGGCCCGCACCAGGGGGCGGGGGGGGGGGGGAGGGGGGCAGCATGGTCTGCCTGGCTGGGTGACCTTGGGCCTATCTGGCCCCATGACTTCATGGTGCTAAGGAGCTGAACTAGAGGATTCTGAGCCCTTTCCAGTTCTAAACACCCCCAATCCTAATTAAGACACTTGTACTGACACTTGTCTCTGGATAGCGAAATATTAAGGTGGTTTTTGTTTTCTGTTTTCTTCTGCATTTTGCAAATAGTTTATAGGGAGCTTGCACTACCAAAGTGTGTGTGTGTGTGTGTGTGTGTGTGTGTTCACAGGACCAAAAATTCTCTGATTCTAGGAAGAAAATGAAAAAGTTTTTTTAAAAAAAGGAAATGCAATAAATTTTAAAATTAAAAGCAGAGGAGACAGAAAGGCCCAACTGGAGGCCCCAAATCCCTACAGGAGTTAGCGAAGGGGGTGGGGGGATTCCCCACCTCCAGGGTGAGAGGTCTTTGTGAACTCATGGCGCCACCTGCTGGTCGTTCTGGGAGCGACCGCTTCAGCTTGGTTCACGAAAGGGCCTTGAAGTGAATCCCGCCAACATCGCTGGTTCACAATCAGGATAAAGATCACATCATTCCATTTACAGGCTAATCTCACTCCGTACTTTCCTCCAGAAATCACTTTTGATTTCGCATTGTAGTAATAACTGGAGCAGAGACACCTAAGTGCGTCCCTTCTGTACAAGGACCAGTCGCCCAATAAGGGAGTGCAGTCCCTCCTGCCAGGAGAAGCTCGTTCTCCAGCTCCCCTCCCCACCTGTCGGAGGAAACTCACTCCCCGCCCCCACCATGTTTGAACCCTGTCTGTTTCACCTCCATCTGCATCTGTCCCGTGGGTTTCTGTAGACCTTAACTTCTTGGCCTTGGACTAATTCAGTAGCTCAAGCCTTCCTGGATGTTCAACAGCTTAAAGTGCTGGCCAAGCCTCTTATGTGTCCCTCTATCCAACGTGAACCCTGCTTTTCCACCGCCCCAAAGGAAGTGTGGTACCTCGCTCCCTGGGGGTCCCCGCTGGGAGGGGGCAGTGTGGCCCAGCTGCTCTCCCACCCTTTTCTGGACCAGACCCTTTCCACAGAGGCTGCCTGGCCAAAACCCCTTTGCTGGCCAAGGCTGGTCTTCAGGTGCAGGATGGCATGCATACCCGGCAACAACCCTCTGTTGCAGATACGGATGGGAAAGGTTTTCCTTCTAACACTGCTCATTTCAGCTCTACAAGGCACCTCTCAAAATCCAGTCTTAAAAATAGACCTAACCAGACTCTGGACAGATGTCTCCATCCATCTGTCCAGCTGTGACATTGTGGTATAATAACGTCCCCAGTGTCTGGCACAGAGCTTCTAAAACCTTGTGAATTCCTGAGTGATAGGGGTGATAGGAGTATCTTTTGTTAGAGTATTTGGTTTGTGTCCCCAGTTACTGGCACAGAGGGGTTCGGAGAACTTCCAAGTTGGTGAACTCATCAACATTGGGGGAGGCCGTGCCCCAGACTCCATGAGGACTCCTGCAGTTAGAACCCTGCAGACCTTGCCTTATGTACTTCATCTGGCTGTTCATCTGTTTCCTTTGTAATGTCCTTTGTGATAAACTGGTTAATAGTAAGTAAATAAGTAGATGAACACATCCATACATAAAAGAAAAGAAAGGAAAATCAAAGGCAACTCTCAAGTCCCTCTGAACTTCATCAAGATCTTCACACAGTGTTTATTAGTGAAGAGTGATGTGGTCTATCCTCAAGGCAGAGGAGTGCCTGGGAACCCCTGATTGGTCGTGCCCAGCGAGGAGGGCTGCCATATTTGGAGAGCAATAGGAATGCCGCCTCCCCCTGCAGCTCCTACATACGGGGGAGGGCAGTGCTGGAGGACAGTGCTGCTGAGGTTCCAGAGGCAAGCTTCCAGAGAGAGCCCGAGGTATGTGGGGAGGCAGAGTTCGCGCTGGATTCCGTTTCTGTGGTGAGGGTTGCTCATTTCTAATCAGACTGCAAACCGTACAGTGGGTTCTTGTCTCCCATCTCCTGGGGGGTGTCCCGAATAAGGGGACACATGAGCCTGTTGGGGCATCCCTGGTGTTGCATGTCTGGTTTTGGTGCATGCAATAAAATGCTACTTTAGGGTTGGCTGGTTGGGATTTTCTTCTGCTTTTAAGCCCTTGTCTATGAAGACTACTTTCTCAAGATCTCTATACTTTTTTTTTTTAACTTGACACACCTGTAATTTGTGTTATTATTCTTATTTAACTTTTCTCCTACCAAAAGAGTATGGGCCGATGGCATGGGGTGTGGCCCCCTATTTAGGAGATTAATGAACGTTGGCTTCATGCTTGGATCTCTTTGGAGAAAGCTGGTCTGAGGTCACTGTGATTAGGGGGCGGTGGGGGGGTAAGGTGCCAGAAAAGTAGGTTCTCAGGCTGCTGCCGGGCACACTCATGCCCTCCCTGAGCCAGAGACTAGACCACGCCTGCAGGTAAAGAAAGGTCAGCAGAAGCCGCTTCACGGGCATCCAGAGGTGGGACTGGACATGCACGGAGGTTGCATTTTGCCTTTTTTCCTACATAAGGACCAGAGTCACACTCCAGCTGAACATTTTAACAGAGATTGACCTATCACTTTGGGAATCCTGCAGGGAAGGTGTGTTAGGGGCTAAGCAAGCTGACTTTTGAACCTCCTCCAGCTCCGGCACAATAGAACTTCGTCTAGGACACAGACTGAGCACGCTTGGCTTTTGTAACCATTCCGGGGTTTCTCATCCACGCCGACAACAGTCCAGGTGCTGGGATGCCCGGAACAGTTGACCTTGGGAAGTAGACTTCCACAATAGCTATTGTAAGTTTCAGGAGCCAGATGGGACAAACTACCGGACTGGGGGGCGGTGGGGAAGGGGGGATATCCCCTGATGTCATCAGCAGCCCTTCGGAGTGCTCCCCCAGGCCCTCCGATCCTCCCCAGCATCCCATCTCCTCTGGAATTCCTCACGGACCCTGCTCTTTGCTCAGCTTAGGGCCCATCGGTGCTGCCCTTCATGCCCAGCGAGTCAAAAGCACAAAACGTGGGCACCGTCCCCTCCTGCAACATAGAAGGGCCATGGGACATGGCAAGTGGGCACATGGGAACAAAGTCAGACAGACTGGATTCAAATCTGCCACCCGCTATTGTGCAGGCTTGGGCAAATCACTTACCTACTCTGAATCCCAGGACAACTTTTTTTTTTAAGATTTTATTTATTTATTTGAGAGAGAGAGCGTGCACGAGCAGGGGGGAGGGACAGAGAGAGAAGCAGACTCCCCGCTGAGCAGAGATACCTATGTGGGGGCCCTGGGATCATGACCTGATGGCAGAGCCATCCAGGCACCCCACAGGACAACTTTTATCAGATGGGAATAATAATGCACCTACCCCATGTGAGAATTAAGTCAGTCAATGCCAGTGGCTGATGCATAGTAAGTGCTGGGTGAGGGGAAGTGTGGGGTCACACTGTCCCCAGGGCGAGACTGGGATCCACCTCTATAGCAGAAGGAGGCAGGGGTCTCTTGGCCACGCTTCCATCTCTCTCTCCATCATTACCCTAAAGCCCTTTGGGGCTTTCTTAGAATAGATGGCAGAATGTGCCAGAGAACAGAGCCAGCTTAGAGGAATAGAATAAAGAGGGAAGATGAACAATACAGTCTGTGCTCAGAAGCCTGTGGTTCCAACTCTTCTGTGTATTTTCCTCCAGAGATCCTCTGACTGGAAAGACGGGAGCCCCAAAGAAAACCTATATGTATTATGTCATTACTCGCTTATTTTCCCATGCATGTTCAAAGGCTTTCTAATTGCCAGTTGTAGCGTCTTATCTGTGGGAGAAAACCAGATCTCCGCCCTGAATGCATGTAATTCCAGGCAAAAGCAAGAACCTGGGTATTGACTTAGCCTGTGCAACCCGAGCACGCGGAAAACTATTCCGCTTTTTGGAAAACGTGAAGGGCGCAAGGATGCATTCCTTGCTTAAAATCGGCCGCACACGGGAGGGGGGCAGGGGAACCCGGGAACCTCCCACCCCCTGGGGGAAGGTAACTGCCCAGGCCTTTGCTCTTGCAGATCCCGACACAATGGGGAAACATCTGGGCAGATGCTGGTTGGCCATCGTCTGTGTCCTGCTGTTCAGCCAGCTGTCGGCGGTCAAGGCGAGAGGCATAAAGCACAGAATCAAGTGGAATAGGAAGGCCTTGCCCAGTACCTCCCAGGTCACGGAGGCGCACAAGGCAGAGATCCGCCCCGGGGCGTTCATCAGGCAAGGCCGGAAGCTGGATATCGACCTGGGAGCCGAGGGCAACAGGTACTACGAGGCCAACTACTGGCAGTTCCCCGACGGGGTCCACTACAACGGCTGCTCGGAGGCCAACGTGACCAAGGAGAAGTTTGTGAGCGACTGCATCAACGCCACGCTGTTGGCCAACCCGGAGGAGCTGTCCCGTGAGAAACAGGACCACAAGCTGTACCAGCGGATCCTGTGGCGGCTGATCAGGGAGTTCTGCTCAGTCAAGCACTGTGATTTTTGGTTGGAGAGGGGCGCGGGACTTCGGGTCGGCGTCGACCTGCCCATGCTGCTCTGCCTGCTGGTTTTCATTTGGTTGATCGTGAAATAAGCTTGCAGGCGGGCCGGCGGCCACAGGGATGAGAGGGTGAGCCATGGGCTGGCGTGGCCCAGTTCTCCCCCAGGCCCCAGCCCCCCGCGTGTCCCAAAGGTACCAAAGAGCCGTGATTCTCCAGTGCCTCAAGGCGCACTGGCGAGTCTCCCCTGGGGTACCTGACTGTATCGGGTAAATAATGTGTGGGTACCAAGTCCGGCCCCACGCACTGCCTTCTCACCTCCCCGGGAGGCATCTGGCACGGTGCGTTCTGCAATAAATAATGAACAAATGTTCGGCGAACAGAGAAGAGAACATGCCAGGGACCGGGCCACGCGCTTCCCGGTATCCCCAACCCCTCCTAGAGACAGGGGTTCTTCCCACTGTGTAGACAAGGAAACTAAGGCTCCAAGAGGTGAGGTGGCTAGAAAGTAGCCGAACCAGAATGCAATCCTGGCTTGTCCAACCCCAGATCTTCCATTCTGTGCAATCCCAGAGCTGCCTTGTGAGTCCTTTACGGCTTGCCAGGCCCAAATCCAAACCCAGATTTCCGCCTGAGCTGATGGCCATGGATCCTGATACCTTGTTCCAGGCAGGTTGTATTTAATTCTTCTGATGAAGCTAAGATACAATAAAGGGAGTAAACGATCATAGAGGTAAAGTGAGACAAAGGCCCAGAAATCACGGTGTAAGGCGATCTTGCCAGGCTGAACTCCCAGAGCAGACCATTTCCACAGCAGGATGTGTCTAGGGCACAAAGATTTCTTTCACCAGAAGGATAAGTGTTCGCTCTTCCTCTCTCTGAAATATCACCTGGATTTGAGAAAATATTTTTAAATGACACATTTGCTTTGCAATGTTCCCTTAGTGCTATAGGGGCATCTTTTTATGTGCATGCACATGAGAATCTCTAACCATACTCCCTTTACACGGGTCCGGTGGCCGATCTCCAGCTGTTCTTTTAACCACCGTGTTGGGGTGGGGCTGTCATTTCTGTGAACCACTTATCACTATAAAAGAATAATTCCGGGCGCCTGGGTGGCTCAGTTGGTTAAGCGACTGCCTTCGGCTCAGGTCATGATCCTGGAGTCCCAGGATCGAGTCCCGCATCAGACTCCCTGCTCAGCAGGGAGTCTGCTTCTCCCTCTGATCCTCCCCCTTCTCATGCTCTCTCTCTCTGTCTCATTCTCTCTCTCAAATAAATAAATAAAATCTTTTAAAAAAAATTTAAAAAAGAATAATTCCTTGCCAAAAAGTTTCAAAAGAAACTGTGTCTTTAGGGAGACCGAACAAAGAATTCACTCATACCATAAGCAAGGGTAGATATGGCACTTAGTATCTACCTCTTATTAGTTAAATATATATTACAAAATATGAATACGACTTAAATACAAATAATGAATCTAATGCTCTAAGATGTCCCCACAGGTCCTCTGGGATACTCTTAGAGACCCCCAGGAATTGTTGAACCATATTTGGATGCACTAGCTGCTGACTATTATCAATTCTCCTTTAAAGAGAGTCCGTAAAGGGGGGGGGGGGAATGTACATTCTCACTTTATCCTAAGTATTTTAAAACATGAATGTTGATAATGGTACCTCTTGTTCTGAGCCTCCACTGCTATCAGCATTCTTCTCAAGGATACTTTTGGAAGGTTCTAACAGAAAAAGCCAGTGAAGGACTTGGGGGCAGGGCAGCCCAGGGTAACGGCCTTCCCCAAGGAGCCTGGGGGCCACCCTGCACTGGATCAGTGCTGGAGGAGGATGGGATGGAGGATGCCAGAAGGTCTTAGTCCTCAGGCTGCCAGCACTGACCTCACCTTCCACTTCCATGGTCCTGCTGAATTCTTGAGCAGAGCCCAGGATAAAAGTACAGACCCTGTAGAGGTTATTTCTTGCAAGTCAGTCTTTTATTTTTATTTTTTAAACAATAGCAATAGCAAGAAAGACTGGGGGAGAAGAAAGAAAGAAAGAAAGAAAGAAAGAAAGAAAGAAAGAAAGAAAGAAAGAAAGAAAGAAAGAAAGAAAGAAAGAAAGAAAGAAAGAAAGAAAGAAAGAAAGAAAGAAAGAAAGAAAGAAAGAAAGAAAGAAAGAAAGAAAGAAAGAAAGAAAGAAAGAAAAAGAAGGAAAGAAAGAAAGAGAAAAAGAAAGAAAAACAACTGGGGCACCTGGGTGGCTCAGTCGTTAAGCGTCTGCCTTCGGCTCAGGTCATGATCCTGGGATCGAGCCCCACATCAGGCTCCCTGCTCGGCGGGAAGTCTGCTTCTCCCTCTCCCACTTCCCCTGCTTTTGTTCCCTCTCACACTGTCTGTCTCTCTCTGTCAATTAAATAAATAAAAATTAAATTAAAAAAAAAGAAAGAAAGACAACTACCTGTAAGCTGATGTTGAAATTTCAGTCCAGCTCTGCTGAGTTTAACCAAAAGGGCACACACAGCCACATAAGCAAAATGACTTCATTTCTTAGGCAAACAGGCAATGATATAGTACATTTTCTATAATTGCTGTCTTTTCTCATTTCATTAACAGTTCCAGAAACCAGATTTAAGTGGGGCATGAAGGACATTTGTATATGGTGATTCAAATGCCAAATTAATCATGAAGCTTTAACTGAGACTACACATGCTTGAACAACCTTGACGCTGTTTACAAATTATGAGGTCCAGGGGAGTCTGTGAGTCTGGTTTCTCACGTTAGCCAAAGGTGGCTGGCCGAGCGCCTACTATGTGCAGGACATTGTGAGGCACGTCTGAATTATTCTTGATACGGACGTTTTAAAGGTGAATAACTTCACCAACCCTTGCTTTCTTGTCCCCTCCAAGTGTTGACTTTTCAAAATGTGTTCATTATAAAAGTGACATTCAAATTACAATAGAAATCCAGAACACCACGTTGCCCCCATCCCAGTATCTGATCAAGTCGGAGTTTTCAGTCTGCCCTCTTACCTCCTAGGCCTTCCCCATTTGCATATACAAATGTACATATTTGCAATAGTACTATAGATGAGCTTTCATATTCCAAATAGTCTCTTTATTTTATAGAACTTTATTCGATGCTTTTTTCATTTTTCTATGATGTTTTAGTTCTTGCCTCCCCCAACCCACCCCCTCCTTCCTGCCTGATCTGCTCCCCGTTTTCACTGTGCTTAGGTATATAAGGGAGGGTTTCTTTAAAAAAAAAATTGATTGTTCCTTTTAAAAATACGGTAATTGTACATATCACATTTACCCCTCAGCAATTTGCCTCTGTAACTTAATGCTGCATCATGAAACTCTTTCCAGTTCAACAGTTAGCTGGTTAGTTAACGACAATTGTCCTTTTAGATTGCTGTGTAATTAGTGCTCGCTTTGGCAGCACATATACTAGATTGCTGTGTAATTAATACTCCATAGTCCAGATGGATCCTGGTTGATTCCATTGCTTCCTGTTGACGGACCTTCAGGTAGCCTCAGTTTTTTTGCCACTGCAAACAATAAACATCCATGTACATACAGCCTTGCAATGTGTGCCTTTTATTTCTGTGGACTCGTTCAAATTTAAACAATTTAAATTTTTCTAGATGTGACTAGATTACGTTCTTGCGTCGCTGGAGCTGTTCTCGGTCCCGCCTGCCGCCGTGGCGCTAACCTCTAAGGGGTTTTAGGTCTTTCAAGTGTAAGAAGCCGCCTCTTCTGCAAATGCTGCTCGAGCACCTTCTCCCCTTTGCACACAGCACACCCAAATCCTCCCAAGTAATTTCTGACCACAAGGACCATTTGAAAATCCCCAAACTGTTAGCAACTCCCATCCTAAACCTGGTTTGGGGCCCAGAACATCCAGGTGAGAAGCAGGGAAAGCAGGCTGTGCATACTGGGGCTTCAGAGGGTGGTATATTTGCACAACTCCGCGCTTCCCGCGGGCCAGGGAGGCGTGGGGTGATGTTCAGTCCTCGCCTTTTTAATCCCTTTTTATCCATCCGTAGTAAATGCCCCGCATTCCAGTGTGCATGAGCTCTGGGGTCGTCAGGTGCAATGTTCAAGTAGCCCACGGCTTCCTCCCTTCGGGGCTCCGGCGGCGGGCCAGCCTCTTCTCGGAGCCTTCACACCCCGTCTTGCTTAGGATGCGTTTGGCAACATTTAGAAACCCCACCCTGGGGCCCTAGCGAGGTTCGTCCCAGGTGGTGGCTGTGAGTTTGTCTTGAGCTCCTTACACTCTACCGCAAGTTTCCTGATCACAGTGACGGGCTTGGCGCGCTGGCCCGTGGCATCAGGCGCCCCCCGGAATTACTTCATACCTCCCGGTTTGGTCACGTCTTGCATTTCCACCCACCGTGTTTTCTTCATGCGCCGTATATGGCTGGACAAGGACACCCTACGGTGCCTGGCAAGTTTCAGCTTCCCCAGCTGGGAGCTCAGACAGCGCTCCGCTGAAGTGCAGAGGCCCCTGGCAAACCCAGCTCGTGCCAGTGGCTGGGTACCTGCTCATTCGGCCCCGAGACCATGCCATCAGCCCCGACGACTCCTCCTACCCTCACGCTTGCAGCAGACCCGTTACAGCTGGGCACCCAGGTTCCCCCTGTGGAAGGGAAGGGAGCCAAACTCCCATGTCCCTGGGAATGACCGGCACCTGCAGAATGAGAATAAATCAAACATTGCAAGCAAAATGGGAATAAGGCACTCTGTCTTTGGGACATCTCCAAGCCCCTTCCAGACCACTCAAAGCCTACTCAATGGACTCAGCTGTCTCCCTTGGCAAGTGGGAGGCTTCACCTGGGCCCGCGGGAGGCCTCAGACTGAAAGAGGTCCCATGTACTGACCATTTGCCTTCTAAAGGGACCTCCCTGGTGGCTGCACCCAGTCCAGAGCTGACCCCCCACCCCCACCCCCACCCCACCCCACCCCACCCCCGCCAAAGAGCTTAGCTTTCAATACTTAAGTGTCACTCCTCCTCAAGATGCTTCCCCTACCCTGGTCTGAATTTCTTATCTCCACCCACCCACCTGGTCAGCCCCTGGAATTTCCAGATCTTATTTTAATGGAAACCTTTCTGTGGGAAAGCATTGCTTTCTTAAACAATATGGATTGCTTTAACTCCAGCAGGCTTAGCTATAAAGTGTGGAAGGAAGTTGGCAGAAAGCCAGAGAGGAACTTGAGGAAGCTAGAAACAAGTCAGGGTCAGAGGACCTAACACAGCTGGTCTCCCTGGATGGAGGGAGGTGGGAGGGGGTGGGAGGTTAGAGGAGAAGGCAAGGGCCTGGGAGAGAGAATTACACACATGGGCTCGTCAGAGGTGCCGTCAGCGTTCAACAGGGTGAGGAGTTATGTCCCCAGAGCTCCAGGCTTAAGAAACGACCTTCAACACCAAAGGGAATTTCAAGGACTAAGCAGAGGGAAGGGTCCAGGGTAGGGTCCTGGTTAGCCAATTCCCTTGTGCTTGCTTCGGCAGCACGTATACTAAAACTGGTTAGCCAATTCCCATATCAACTGTGTTGTACTTGAATTTCCAAATCCATAAATAGGGTTTCTAATTGTTTTAACTGTTTTAACTCAGAGCTACTTAGCAATCAAGAACAAAATGAGGGAGTTATAGCATCTGCAACATTGTGGTTTCTAGGAAATACGTATTTAGTCATCTAGATGACCAAAATACATTTCTCATATGTATTTGATCTTCATCCATGGTTCTTTTTATTTTTTTTTTAAGATTTTATTTATTTATTTGACAGAGAGAGACACAGCAAGAGAGGGAACACAAGCAGGGGGAGTGGAGAGGGAGAAGCAGGCTGCCTGAGGAGCAGGGAGCCCGATGTGGGGCTCGATCCCAGGACCCTGGGATCATGACCTGAGCTGAAGGCAGACGCTTAACGACTAAGCCACCCAGGCACCCCTTTATCCATGGTTCTTAGCTCACAGCTCTGCAAACCCTTGGAATTTGCTGAGCAATAAGATGGGTGGAAGCATCTTTTGTCATAACACTCGATCTCTTGTCCTCAGCTCCTGAAATCGCTTCACAGCCATAAAGGTGAAATGGGTGTCTTGTTATTAATCACCAGCACCTTCATGAGTTTATGTTAATGAGGTGACTTGGAGAGCACCCAAGGATAGGGGCTTGTTGCCAGGTGAACCAACCAAGACTAGAGGGTTGGAACTTTGAGTCCCACCCTCTGATTTATGGGGAGAGGAGAGGGACTGGAAGCTGAACCAATCACCAATAACCAATGAGTTCATCAGTTGTGCCCAGGTAATGAAGCCTCCATAAAAAACAAAAAAGACCGCGTTCGGGAAGCTTCCAGGTTGGTGAACACGTGGAAATTTGGGGACAGTTGTGCTCTCCGAGAGAGTAAGGAGACTACATGATCTGTTCCTATACCTTGTCCTATACATCATTTCTGTCTGTTCCTGAGTTATATTCTTTTATAATAAACACGAGTTTTGTGAGCCACTCTAATAAATTAATCGAACTCAAGAAGGGGTCATTGAAACCTCCTGTCTATAGCCAGCCAGTCAGAAACACAGGTGACACCCTAGACCTAGAATTGGTATCTAAGGGGGGGGGGGCAGTCTTGGAGGACTGAGCCCTTAACCTGTGTGATCTGACAGTACTAGGGTCAGAACTGAGTTGAATTATACGACACCCAGAATTTAAATAAAAACTTGGGGAAAAAAGAGAATTAGAGGACACCCAACTGTATTGGAGAATTGCTTAGATGTGTGGGGAAAACACACACACACACATACACACACACATTGAAATTGTGTCCACAACCCTTTTAGGGTCTCTCTCTCTCTTTTTTAATTTGAGAGAGAGAGTATGAGCACATGAGAAGGGGGAAGGTCAGAGGGAGAAGCAGACTCCCTGCCAAGCAGGGAGCCTGACGTGGGACTCGATCCCGGGACTCCAGGATCATGACCTGAGCCAAAGGCAGACGCTTAACCAACTGAGCCACCAGGTGCCCCCTTTTAGTGTCTCTTAAATGTCATTTATCCCTCCCTGTGCCTAAGCCAAACCCCACCATCAACTCTGCTCCCCCGGGGAAAAAAAATAAAGGGGAGCAGGAGACAAAGGGTCGGTGGGTTTTCCTCAGCTTTTGGCTCACATGGCATAGCCAAAGCGTGGAGGGACCTCCACCCATCCAAAGTTAAAGGACTTTTCTGGGCTCCTTGTCACAAGAACAGATTCTAAAAATTTCCTCCTAGAATTTCAAAATTACTGTGGTCTGCAAACCTGCTCCCACTCAACTTGGGGAGCACTGATCTGTGCAGTTGGATGTTCCAGAAGTCCAGCTGCCAGACTCACTCAGGGCAGGACCTGACCCTGTCTCGGGAGGCTTCACGTCTATATTTCAAGGCCATTGGCCCTTTGCCTTAGTAGATGGTTTTTACCTAGGATTACAGATACTTTTTGCTCTGGGCACTATCTCAGCTCCTAACTTACATTCAACATTTTAGCTAATGTCTTTCTTTGTCTTGTCTTGGGCATTTTGTGAGTGAATCCATGCCTTCATTTGACCAACATTTATTGAGTTCCTACCGTGTGTCGATCTACCCTGTGCTGGAGCTCTGCTGCTGGGCAAGAACGCCCTGCTGTTGGGGTGCACACACATGCACGCACACACACACACACTGCTGCTATGCCAGGTCTCTGGGAGCTTGGGGGGGATCTGGTGTGTACCATTTGCCCAGTTCCAGTACCCTGTGCCCTGGTCTTAATTTATAAAGCTGACTGAGTGACAACATGAAGAGGTCAATGCCATTGGAAGACAAGTTTAATGTGACTCACAATCCCCCTAGAAGTGAGAAGCATGGCTCCTCACGCAGGGCGGTGGGAGGAACCCCAGGCTTGGGTCAAAAGGCAGCGGTAGGAACAGGGGAGAGCCTAGGTCAGAAGGCTTGCCTGCGGTTTCCTCAGGAAGGGCAAGACAGAGTGAAGCTAGGGTGAATCATTTCAGTGGGCTTTGGGCTATCGTGGTGGTCTCTAGTCTCTGGTACTCGGGCTGGCTGGTGAAAGTAGAGGAATACCACCTCCCAGGGCGCCTGGACGTAGGAGATGGGCTCCGGATTGATGACCTCGCATCTCAGCGGCAAGCTCCCAGCTGAGCCCCTTGCTGTCTCTAAGAACTGGCTGGCCCTGGGAGGGCAGTCTCTCCCCCATCAGAAAGGTTTTTTTTAAGATATCAAAACTTCATGATATCCAGAAAATAAACATGATTAATGCACCTTGCTAATTCTGAGCGGCTAGTGCTCGTAGTTGCTGCTGGAAGTGGAAGACATGGGGGCAGTCGCTCCCGGGGAGACTGCGTGACTGGCTCCAGCACAGCATACTCAACTGTTTGCCACGTCACCTTTACACAGATTCATTCATTCCCCCGACAGTGTTGATAGCCCTCCCAAGTCACAGCTGAAGTCATTTCAAGTGGGGGGCGGTGCTCTAGATGGGTTGAAGATTGCCCTCTGATCTCTCTCCCCACCCGTGGCCCCTGGGGTGGCGGCCGCTGGAGTTCAGGATCACGTGGCAGTAGATCGTCATGGACGTGCT